AAAATCACAATATAGGATTTAAAGCCCCCCCCCCTGCTGTCTGGGATCAGGGAACAGGCCTGTACAAGGTATGCGCAAAGGTACTGATCATTTACATGCAGTTTTGCGACAAATTATAGCTGGATTTTGTATTTTCGAGCAATTTTAAAAAATAATTTCGAACGATAAAAGTACAAGCTCTCAATATAACAAATTAATCATTCTTGTAATTGTCCTCCGATATAAAAAAGAAAGAAAATAAAACAAAAAGTTATGTGCCGATGGCCAAGTCTTCAGGAGTTGGACTTATGACCCTAACTCAATGAGCCCCTTACCGACTTCCAACATAGAACTCTTCCGGGACTCGGTACCCGGCCCACCACACCTCCTTCCCTGTCTATCCATGTAACTCGAAAGTCAGGTACCATAAAGGGAGGAAACGAGGTGGCACACTAAGCCTTGCTGCCGAGTCAGCAAAAGAACCCCGTACCTATACGCAGACGCCAACCTGGACTTCGCAGACAGTCCCAACTTGTGAGTCAGCTTACCGACCGACCGAGCTAACTGCTGTGGGTAAATGACGACGGGAAACTAATACTCTTAAATGACATAACCGCGGGCAGCGAAAACCAAAAGATGACACCAAGGGGGATTGAACCCCTTACCCCGGATCCACTATCAGACAGCTTAACACGTAGGCTGTTTCAGTAAGTGCTTTTCGCATCAGTTGTGATCAAGGTATGTCCCCCCCCCCCACTTTTGAGAAGCGATTGACGCCCCTACATGACGCCCCCCTCCCATAAAATGTTCCAGCCCCCAGTCCCTCGTTCCCCACCGATCCGACGCCCATGGTTGGCACCGTGTTTCAGAACGACAGACTTTACGCGTACATTCTATACGTAGGGCCAATGCATACATGCTGTACAGCGTCAGTTGGTGAAATCGAAATTTCTAAAAAAAAGAGACCCTCAAACGTTTTCAAAAACATTTCACTTTTTTCACGAAAAAGATATATGGATTTTATTTAAAAACTAGGAATTTCCAAGGTGGGTTGATATGTCGGAAATGGAAGAGTTTTAGAATTTCAGCGAAGGATATTAATTCTAGTTAAAATCAGAGCATTTTTACATTAGCGTGCGACAATGCAAAATTTTAATACACGAGAACAAAGGAAGTACCTCACTTCTATGCCTTTGTAAGCGCGCGTGTGTGTGGGTGGGTAGGTCTATGTGTTTTATGGCACACTGCGGTATTTTCGTTGGGCCCCCCACCCCAAATTTTCGTCGGCCCCCAAATTTTTTGTAGGCCCCCAATTTTTTTCCTAGGCCCTAGGCAAAGTGCCTACTGTGCCTATTGTGTAATCTGGGCCTGTATATTCTGGCATTCAATGAACTACTGCGATGGATTGTATGTAGATTAGCTACACGCCCCTCTAGGCAAACACACTTAACTGTGACTCGTGATGCGATTGTTCTCGTTTTGGTAATTAAATGAACCCTTTGCAAGGAACGATAGCACAGACTACACCTGACATGATCTTATTTTAACATGGTTTGTACATGACGATGCAGGACACCAGATCATGGGCTTATCTTTGGGGGCTTCGCAATCTCTCCCGAAGCCAAAAACGGAACGGAATCCGTGCCTGGAAACCCACTTATATCTAGCTTTATCTAGCCAGTAGCATCAGACTTTGCAAATATCGCAAAAGCTGTAAACACTTCAGTTTTTGGACCTTGGAAACATGGCGTGATTTTAGATAATAGGCCCTAGTCAGTGAGCTTGTAGGGTCCCATTTTTTATTTCTGGGTACAATCTTTCAAACTGTCAGGTTTTCAGTAGCATGTACTCATGGCATGAAATCATTCCAAAATGCAGCCTCCAAAACACTCATTTTGTCGGGTAGATTTTGTGAAACAATAACTGCTTCAACGCCTGTATTTTTCAATGTCGCTCTCCCCGTGCTATTTTCGAGTTTCACGGCGAATAATTTTTTTTTAGCAATATGAAATGTATTCACTTTGCTTAACGTATCTAACAAAGAAAATCGAGTTTTCGCATGAAATATCATTTACCAAATTGCGAATTATATTCTGCCTGACCACACAAAAAGTAGAATAGACGCCCCACATTGAAATCAAACGATTGCCTTCAAAACAAATATAATTGTTTTGGGAAAAACACAAGAGCAGGGTACATAATTATGAACACATCACCGTGGGGTTTGAGAGCTAAGTAACACTATATAACCGTGTATGATTACAAATTCTCGATGTACGTCGCTGGGGATTGGGACAACGCTCGGCCTCATTCATTGGTCAGTTGTTTGAGGAAGATAGATGGTTCTTCTTCTTTGCGGTGACGACGTGTCGGCCGTAGTTGGCACGCATGCTCAGAAGGTAAAACGTGCCGACTTACAACTACTGAAGACTACCGGAGGCGAAAAACAGGCCTAGTTGAATGACGAAACTTTGTGACAAGTTGATTGACGAAACTTGTACAAGAAGAAATAGTAAAATAAATGGTAGGGCAAATGAGTCAAGCATTCATTATCTGATGGCATGCTATTTAGGGAATTAAAATCACCATCTGTAGAAAATTGTCAAACAATTACCCAAAATTGAGACCCCCAAAAGTGTGCTCAAACTGGCTCATGACGCCGTGATGGCCGGGCAGCTCAGCACAACTTAAACCACCACCGAAAATTTCTTTTGGCTGAGCGTTTACAGAGTGACATGCGACATAACTCTTTGTTAAATTGGTATCCCGAGCCGAAGAAAGATCTTTCGGCGCTGTTGACAATTACGTCGTGTGCTAAGGAAAAGGGCGTTAGCAGCTCAGGCACGCAGAAAATCACTTTTCGAGATAATCGAGTTTAAAGGTTTTGTGCTCCCATTTCTAAATAAAAAATCACATCAGGCTGAAATTTGGGCTCATGAAAGTCGTTCATAATTAAAATCCTTTTATGAATTTTCATTTCAAAATATTACTTAATTTTGAAGTTATTTAAATACTCACTCTCCGACAAACACCTTTAAACAACTCTTCTCGGTCACTCAGCTTTTCTATAGTTTTAGAAAGAAAAAAAAAACAGGATCGCTCCAAAGTCTGCTACGATGATAGATAACATCATCGTTAGTACAAATGCTCAGGATACCTTGTCCAGTACTTGTCCAGTATCAAAACCTTGGCTCCTATGGTCAACATATTCCAAAGTGATTACAGTTAATTATTGTTTAGTTTATAAAAGGTATTAACTCCTTTCTCTGATAAAAAAAGTTCATTTCTTTTTTATAGCTGACACACATCCATTTTGATCATGAGATTCTTCAGGAAGTGTTTCAAAATATTCACCCTGAAGTGTAAGGTAACAAACGTGTTTATTAGGTGCGTTAATCTTTCTTTCAATCTTAAATAAATCATCTTTAGCGTTTACTAAAACCAAAAATATGCAAATTGTTTCATCTTAACAAAATTATATTTAATAGACACATTCTAAGTCCACTATTTTCGAATGGAGGTAATTGATGCTCTATTATATGTTTCAGAATGCTTTAGTATGGCTTTAATAATCCAATCTTATTTATTGGCCTCGAGCTTTATATCTAGACTAACCAACGTGACGAACCTCCAGAAACGACTCTATAGAATCCTTGTGAACTAATCCTAAAGACAACACACCTTATTTATTAATTTTTAAAAATACTTTAACTTTAGGAAAGCAATCAATAAGAAGTTTCTTTATTTATGTTTAAGCTTATTAAAATGGTCTCATTCTGTTAATCTGTAAAAGTTTTGAACCGTGTTAACCAAATTCACTTTTCGATCTTCAATCTTTGTGGATAGTCCTCGATCTGCAAATTATCTTCCCAAATTTAGAACTTCCTTTACCCATTGTGTTAAGGTCCCCTAAACGTGGAATAGTCTTCTTTCAATCCGTCAACAGATACTTTTATGAATCCCAATTCTCTCTAATTACTCAAGTCATTCTTGTATATCTAAACAAACAAAATAAACTATCGCTGTTGGTAAAAAAAAAATAAGAAGGCAGTGTGATGTCTTTTGATGACTGGTATCAAATAATATGAAGATGGAGAGTCATTATGTGAAGCATTAAGTGATAAAACTGCTCAACGATGTCCGTTTATGGACAGTCACTCTCTGTTACTGTTACTGTTTGAATTTCTCCTGTTATCTCACAGGCGAACTACTTAAGATAAATATTTTGCCCTGCATTGTTTTGCAGCGAATCATTTCTGGCTCTCAAGAATGGGTTAACTAAGAAGACAAAAAAGTGTATAAATGTATGAAAACAAAAAATGTGTTCAGTGTTCACTCAGACAAAATATCAGATGAGAACGATGCCGTGTTTCATATACGTATATATTTATATATGAGTTCAAGAAAGAAATGGAACAAAATGGAAATTAGAAGAGCAAAAAGGTTTATAAAATGTTAATTTATATACGTTCAAGAAAGAAACAGACAATAGAAAATGGAAGTAGCCAATAAAATAAATAAATAAATAAATAAATAGTTTTTAAAAGATAATTACATGCAATGTCCCCTTCGGAGAAGCATCACACAATCATCCCCACCCATCTGACCACTGTGGCACACATTGCAAGAAAACAACAAAAACAACGAGACGTTTCAAGAAGATTAATGCCTCATCGTTGGACCTGCGCTGTTTTACTAGAGAGATGTATTAACATGTACAGCACTGACGAGAGGTCCACAAGCAGACATTTTAAATGTCAATACATTTCATTTGATTTTGCTTCTAAATTTCGTAAATATATTGTAAATTAATGTTACTATATTGGGAAATGAGGCATCACCTCCCATTGTGTAATTGAATGCTGATCATTTCATGTCTTGGTTGGACTGCCGGAGGTCAATCTCTTGGGAAGGGCCAATCCCGGAGATGTGACATCGAGTTTAAGTCTCTGCAAATTTAAATACATATGTTAAGAGAGCTGGAGTTTTCTTTTAGGAACATCCTTTACAAAGTCTCTTACCTTTCTTTCGCAGGTTTGCTTCTTGGTTTGCGGGATGATGAAGTCCTTCTCTCATGGGAGTGGTGATCAGACGACGGTTTCCTGTATGGAAGCACAGAAAGAAACGCTTCCTTCCTACGCCTGCTGACTTTAGTCTTCCTGCTGACGAGTTTGGTGTTGGAGTGGTCGTACACGACGGCTGTTGCCTTAATGTAGGCATTCAAATCCTGAATGGTCTTTTGCGACATCTTGGTATTTACCGGTTTGACGTTGGAAGAAAGAGTTGAAGATGCACTCACAGAAAGTAAACTCAATGGTAATTGTCCATGTACTCAACTGGTGTTCGATGGCCTACTGCGATGGATTGTATGCAGATCTGCTATACGCCCCTCTAAGTAAACACAATTATGATATTAACTGTAACTCGTGATCCTCATAATTAGTTTCGTTTTGATAATGAACCCTGGCAAGGTAGCACAGACTACACTTGGCGTGATCTTGTTTCAACTGGTTTATACAAGGCGAGGCAGGACACCAGATGATGGGTTCATCTTTGGGGGTTCAAGTTCCAGAGCACGGATCTGTTCCCGGCTGCGGCTTCATCTCTGACTTGAGGATCATTTTTTGAGTGTTACCATCACAACTAAATGGGATATTCTTCAAACTTTTGCTTCGTATTATTTGAGTTAATATTGCTGAAGCAGAACAAGGGCCTGGATTGAGCCGGATTCCACTAAGTCATAGGCCTCAAACTCTTTTAGAAGCCAAAAACGGACCGTAGCCGATTAGTGGACCCAGGGGCGTAAATCCCAGGGGGGGTTGGGGTATAAATTCCCCACTTTTGGACCAGGGGGTGATCAGTGGGTTTTTGAATTATTCCCTCCCCCTACTTGTTCTTAGTGAGGAACCAAAAATGTGGATTTTGAGGGATTTTTCGAACTTCCCTAAAATCCAAATGTATTCAATAGCACTGATAAATGGAGTAAAAAAGCTTAAAATTAAACAGCTTAAAATGCGTCGTTTTATAGAGCGGGAGTACATATAAAGATGTGCATTTGTATCGTGATCAGCGCCCCCTATGGGTCTTCCCCTCCCCCATCCCACTCTCCGTCACAGATTTACGCCACAGCTAGAAACACACCTAGCACGCTCTATCGGCGGCATCAGACTCTATAAATATTCGTTTAAACACTTCACTTCTTGACTTTTGGAATATTGCGTGAATAGATAAGCGCCCACGACAAATACGGCCAAAGGTCATAACGCATTGATGGCGCTTACAACAGGGGCGTAGCCAGGTCAATTTTATTGGGGGGGTTAAACATTTCTTAAAAAGGGCACTTGCACATCCGTGCTGAAATGTACACACGTTTTGGGTTTTCTCCGGACACTTGGCCTCTGTAAAATCATGGGGGGTGGGGGGGGGGGCTGGTACCATCTATCGATTGGGGCGCTGTTAAAAACCTACGAGTATGCAAACTAATGGACAATATATGCCGCTTTTCACGGCTATGTGTAACCAGTACAGCCAAGCGTAACCGGAAACTATACATGTACTTGTGGGACAAAAAGTCCTTAGAACCGTTAATATATAACAACTGAAGATCAAACAGCCTGTGCACAAGTATCTATTGGGTGGTTTTGGAAGACCGCAATGGCACTAGTCAAGACGACTCTTCCAGCATGCAAGTGACATACAGAAATAGACCAATACGCGGTCAATGATCGTAAGTAAAATATCATCAACTTGACGCCAAAATCGATTTCAGAAAAACATAACTTTACTTGTTCTTTAAATTAGGTGAAATAGTGTAGATATTGTTGAAAAACGTTTTCTCGTTGTCTTGTCCTCTACTTACACCAATTGTAAATCAACATTTAATGCTCCTGGATCGTCATAAAAAAAGTACAGACGTTGATGTGCTCAGGTGTAAAAAAGAACTTCTCTTTCGTCATTATTTTTGCGTATGTTTTGTGTTGACTGTGATGTTACAACGTAAGTTATCTGCACAAACACATTCAGTTTTTATTCAACGTTGCAAGATAATTTTCTGTCATCTTTTATTTTGGGTCGAAATACATTGATTTTTTGCTTCAATCTATTTTTTTTTTTTTTATTACTCATCTTCTGATTTGTTTTATTCTGTTAGTTATTTAGTCATTTATTTAAATGCATTTGTATTTATTTCGGTGTTGACATCCAGCGTCACGTTATAACAAAAAGTAACACAGGACACAGCAAAGCTCTGCCCTCGTTAATAAAAAAAACAAATTCAAGAGGTTAAATCAAGGTTTTATTTGATGTGAAGATGTGGTGTCCCAATTTTCTCGTTATATTTCTCGTTAGTATGACAATGTATTTACTTATATGCAACCTTAAAATTGTTTCTTCCTTAAAGAATAAGACACGAGTTCAAATTGTTCTTTGTTTTTTCTCCATTACAGAATTTATTTGTCAATTACTTATTTCAGGCAAGTCCAAATGATTCGCATAATATATCAATTACATGTACATAGGTATCAAATCCCTCGTTTCCGTCAGGATAAAAATCAAACATTATCTCAATACTGTTCATTATACGTAGAGTGAACTCATACTTAATTGGAAGACAAATTTTCTCACAATACAAACATTGAAAACTGGCAATTGTTGTACTTACAGAAAATTATTTTCGTTTCAAATGATTAACCATTCCTTTGATTGTTTTGATTGTCAACAGTATGATTCCTTTCAAAATTCTGAACAAAAACTACAAAAAAATGCGAACCATTTTTTTTTATAAGTAAGTGTCCAAAATTTGATTTGTTTTTCTTGACATTAGGCTTAGTGTCTTAGGAATTACAGGCAGCTAAAATCCACACTTGAGAAATAGTTGGTTTTTATATCAATTATTATCAATAAGGCGTTTTAAGGCTTGGGGCTTTTGGCAAAATAATGCAATTTCGAGTATTTTCCCCCATAAGACACCATTTAACATTGATAAAATATTTATCTGTTTCTAACGTTGTAAACGTAAGCATAACGTGAATACCCACAAAGAGGAATGGCGGGTAGTGGCCACATTATACAGGTATACTATCTACGCATGCGTACATGCATCTACGCATGCGTACGTCTTTGAAGACCGGTCGCATTGGAAAGGTTGCCTCTGCCAAATTAATCAAATTAATCAAATACACAATTTCAATGGTACGTAAACACTTCAAGCCATGAGAGACTTTTTTGATACAAAAATACCCGGTTAAGGATAAGCACTTCTTGTGGCACTATCAATATAAGCGCATAAATATGTACACTTTCAAACTTTCAGTTCGATTCCTCACACAAAGTTTAGTTTATCAAAGATATGTACAAGTTATAAACAGCATGGCACATTCTGGAAACCTTGAGATTTCTTACTGACTGTATTCCATAATCTCAATGGTCCACATATTAATATTCTCATATATTCCATATTGAGTAATTTCTTTACCAGGCGTACGCAAATAATAAGTCAACGGCGACATAACACAGTGATTAGATCATCCAATTATTCAGGTAAAATTATACATGTTAGGCTGTTCACCAACGAGGCTTTACCAAATCAAACAGCGCAGTCTCTTTTCGTTGTTATTGTATCTTATTAAGTTATAAAGAATATGGAACTCTTTTTCTGCCCACATACCCACTATCAGGAATCTGGCCAGCTTCAAGTGGGAGGTGAATCGATATCTGGGCGACAAGCCATCAGCAGTCTATATTAATTGATAATGTTTCTAGCTGTTAAGCCCCAGAGATGCCTTGTTTAAAAAAAAATATAATAAAAATGAGATGATGTCGTTAAAGAGAGAATATAAAATTGAGTTTGTATCTGCAATCGTTAATAATGTATTTGGAAGATTTTAAAGTAAAACATTTATCCCACTATTTACTTTTCTGGCAAGCAACAGAACCGATGCTAAGCTGTCCTCGATTCTGTTACGATGCCATTCAACACTGAGCCGGAATTGGATTAAACTCTCAAATATACTTGCGTGACAATGATACAACTTTGATGCGCATTGGATATTCACTGCTATCAAATATGTGAAGCTGGTACAAACTTATTCGACCAGTATACAATTGTACAAAGGAGAGCGGATAATTAGCGATCCCCTTCCCGAGAATTATCAGGGGTCCACTTTTCTTTGTTAGAAACAGAGAATAGTTCTGAAGTGTGGAATGATATGCACTCCTCCATACGTGTATGTTGCATGTGTTTTTATAGAGAGATCAATTCTTGCACGACCTGCACCTAGCCCCTCCATTCCATGTCCAGCAAATTTGAGTTATTTTACAAGTCTCGTAGACAGAGATATCAACATATGAGTCCAGCACAAATAATTGCAAAAACAATTACATCCGAACATTCTGACATCCGTGGCAAACGGACTTCAATATTTTAACTGATGAAGTTGCAGGATGCATTATGTGATTTCGTAAGAAAATGATAACATTTTTGAAACTTTTATGCTATTCCCAAAGTTCTTACAATTAATGCGGGGAAAATGCCTTCAGTCTTGCGAATATCTAAATACGCGTATTATCAATAACAATTCCGTCTTGAAATTAGGTGTTTTATGTTTGGGTTAGAAACGGATTAGCTTAATTACGACTGATTAAGTTATTGAATGAATACGCATCATATCTCCGTTTGTTCAACACGTGTTTCGATTATCGTGCTTTACATTATGTTCACACAAAATGGCTGACTCGAGGCAGATTACTTGAAAAGAACATCATTATACTCGTGAGAATTCATCTTATAGGCTACTTTGGGCATGGGAATTACATATCCCAGCCCAGGAGTGAATTGTTCATCTAGTAATCTTCAGAAGCCCCAAAATCAACTTCACTTCCCCATGCCTCGGATATGTGTCTCTTATCTTCTTCTGTCAACGAACAATCACCCAATTTCAGGCTTCTAACATGCTTCATCTGTTTCAGGCAGCGAGCCCATGTTTGTGCACAGCCACTCAAAGACTTATTTCCCTCAAGGCTGAGGGATTCTAGGGTTGGCAATTGACTTACTGCTGCAGCAAGGTGTTCAATGTCTGTACTCTGCAGTGAGCATGTAAATAAATCCAGCTCCCGAAGTTCTGTCATGTTTTGTAAGGGTGGGGTCCAGATATCTGCGAAACCACCCAAACCATCAATGTTACGAAGGATCAACTTGACCAAATCTCTCCGATTACTAAATGACTGCAAAATATCCGCCATACCCTCGCCCGTTAATACTGAGAACCTCTGAATGCTCAGCTGTATGCCATTATCGCATGGCTGAACACGACAGTCCTCGGCGGAACTATCCCGACTGTCAATGCTACAATGTCTCATATAAAGGTGAATCCTCCTCTGCAAACTAGCAGGCCACGTTCATGCGATACGACTAGGGTCCCATTTTCTTGAAAGGCTAAGATCAACCAAGTTTGGCATCTCCCCAACCGATGATGCTATATGTGGTAGATCTTGTTCATTTATGCCACATTTCAATAAATTGAGTGATCTCAGGTGAATCATCTTCTGCAAACTAGCCGCCCACGTCTTGGCGTTACCACCCAATCCCTCATTGTGTGATAGGCTAAAATCGGCCAAGTTTGGCATCTCCCCAACCGATGATGCAATGTGTGATAGATCTTGTTCATTTATGTCGCATTGCCATAAATTTAGTGATTTCAGGTGAATCATCTTCTGCAAACAAGCCGCCCACGTCTTGGCATTGCCGCCCAATCTCTTATTGCCTGACAGGTAAAGATTGGCCAAGTTCGGCATCTCCCCAACCGATGATGCAATATGTGGCATATCTTGTTCATTTATGCCACAATTCGAGAAATCGAGTGATTTTAGGTGAATCATCCCTTTCAAACTATCCGCCCACGTTCCTGCATGACCACCCAATCCCTTATTGAATGAAAGGCTAAGATCGGCCAAATTGGGCATCTCCCCAACAGTTAATGCTATATGTGATAGATCTTGTTCATTTATGTCGCATTGCCATAAATTTAGTGATTTCAGGTGAATCATCCCTTTCAAACAAGCCGCCCACGTCTTGGCGTTACCACCCAATCTCTCACTGCCTGACAGGTAAAGATTGGCCAAGTTTGGCATCTCCCTAACTGATGATGCTACATGTGGTAGATCGTGTTCATTTATTCCACATTTCGATAAATCGAGTGATTCAAGGTGCATCATCCTCTGCAAACTAGCCGCCCACCTTCCTGCGTGACCACCCATCCTCTCATTGCCTGAAAGGTTAAGACCGTTCAAGTTTGGCATCTCCCCAACCGATGATGCAATATGTGGCATATCTTGTTCATTTATTCCACAATTCGAGAAATCGAGTGATTTTAGGTGAATCATCCCTTTCAAGCTAGCCGCCCACGTTTCGGCATTACTACCCAAGTTAGCGTTACCTGAAAGGTTCAGCGTAGCCAAGTTTTGTATCTCCCCAACCGATGAACCCAGATGTTGAATATCTTGTTCATTTATGCCACAATCCGATAAATCGAGAGCTTTAAGGTGAATAATCGACTGCAATCTAGCCGCCCACGTTCCTACGTTACCACCCAAGTTCGAATTATGTGAAAGGTTGAGATCAGCCAAGTTTGGTACTTGACCTAATGTTGCAGCAAGGTGTTCAATGTCAGCGGTTTGCAGTGAGCAATCACTTAACTCTAACTTCTGAAGTTCCGTCAGGTTTCGCAAGACTGGAGTCCAGACACTTGCGAAACCACCCAGACCGCAAACACCATCAATGGTCAATTTGACTAAATCGCTCCGATTATTGAATGGCTGCAGTACATCCCCCAAATCCTTGACAGTGAGTGAGAACCTCTTGATGCTCAACTCTATGCCATTACCCAATGACTGTAAACGCCACTCCCCATGGTAACTACTGAAATCACAATCCACGATATTCCGCATGCGGCTTACTGATTCAGCGATATATTTCAAATCGCGACTGTCAATGTCAAAAAGTTTCATGTCAAGCTTCTTTAAGTGAATCATCGACTGCAAACTGGCAGCCCACGTTTCAGCATTTCCTCCCAATCCCATATTGAATGAAAGGACAAGATGGGCCAAGTTTGGCATCTCCCCAACCGATGATGCAATATGTAGTAAATCTTGTCTATTGACGCCACATTCCGATAAACCGAGTGATTTAAGGTGCATCATCCTCTGCAAACTAACCGCCCACGTTCCTGCGTTACCGCCCAAGTTCGAATTCATTGACAGATTTAAATGGGCCAAGTTTGGCATCTCCCCAGCCGATGATGCAATATGTAGTAAATCTTGTCCATTGACGCCACATACCGATAAACCGAGTGATTTAAGGTGCATCATCCTCTGCAAACTAGCCGCCCATATTCCTGCGTTACCGCCCAAGTTCGAATTCTTTGAAAGATTTAGAACGGCCAAGTTTGGCATCTCCCCAACCGATGATGCAATTTGTAGTAAATCTTGTCCATTGACGCCGCATTTCGATAAATCGAGTGATTTCAGGTGCATCATCCTCTGCAAACTAGCCGCCCATATTCCTGCGTTACCGCCCAAGTTCGAATTCTTAGAAAGATTTAGATCGGCCAAGTTTGGTACTCTACCTAATGCTGCAGCAATGTGTTCAATGTCAGCGTTTTGCAGTGAGCAATCACTTAACTCCACCTTCTTAAGTTCCGTCAGGTTTTGCAAGAGTGGAGTGCAGATAATTGCGGAACCACCCAGACCGCAAATGCCATCGATGGTCATTCTGACTAAATCGCTCCGATTATTGAATGACTGCAATACATCCGCTATATCCATGACAGTAAGTGAGAACCTCTCAATGATCAACTCTATGCCATTACGCAATGACCGTACACGCCACACCTCACGGTAACCACTGAAATCACAATCCACGATATTCCGCATGCGACTAACTGATTCAGCGATATATTTCAAATCGCGACTGTTAATGATACAATGTTTCATGTCAAGCTTCTTTAAGTGAATCATCGACTGCAAACTAGCCGCCCACGTCTTGGCGTTACCACCCAATTCCTTATTGCCTGAAAGGATAAGATCGGCCAAGTTTGGCATCTCCCCAATCGATGATGCCATATGTGGTATATCTTGTTCATTTATGCCACATTTCGATATCTCGAGTGATTTCAGATGAATCATCCTCTGCAAACAAGCCGCCCACGTTTCGGCATTAGTACCCAACTTTGAATTCCGTGAAAGGTTAAGATTAGCCAAGTTTGGTATCTCCCCAACCGATGATGCAAAATTTAGTAAATCTTGTCCATTGACGCCACATTCCGATAAATCGAGTGATTTAAGGTGCATCATCCCATGCAAACAAGCCGCCCACATTCCTGCGTTACCACCCAAGTTCGAATTCTTTGAAAGGTTAAGATCGGCCAAGTTTGGTACTCGACCTAATGCTGCAGCAAGGTGTTCAATATCAGCGGATTGCATTGAGCAATCACTTAACTCTAACTCCTGAAGTTCCGTCAGGTTTTGCAAGAGTGGAGTCCAGATACTTGCGGAACCACCCAGACCGCAAACACCAACAATGGTCAATTTGACTAAATCGCTCCGATTATTGAATGACTGCAATACATCTGCCAAATCCTTGACGGTGAGTGAGAAACTCTCAATGCTCAACTCTATGCCATTACCCAATGACTGTACACGACACTCCCCATGGTAACTTCTAAAATCACAATCCACGATATTCCGCATGCGGCTTACTGATTCAGCGATATATTTCAAATCGAGACTGTGAATGTTACAAAGTTTCATGTCAAGCTTCTTTAAGTGAATCATCCTCTGCAAACTAGCCGCCCACGTTTCAGCATTTCCTTCCAATCCTTTATTGAATGAAAGGAAAAGATGGGCCAAGTTTGGCATCTCCCCAACCGATGATGCAATATGTAGTAAATCTTGTCTGTTGATGCCACATACCGATAAATTGAGCGATTTCAGGTGAATCATCTTCTTCAAACTGGCCGCCCACGTCTTGGCGTTACCACCCAATCCCTCATTGCCTAAAAGGTTAAGATCCGCTAAGTTTGGAATCTCCCCAACCGATGATGCAATATGTAGTAAATCTTGACCATTGACGCCACATTCCAATAAACTGAGTGATTTAAGGTGCATCATCCTCTGCAAACTAGCCGCCCATATTCCTGCGTTACCGCCCAAGTTCGAATTCTTCGAAAGATTTAGATAGGCCAAGTTTGGAATCTCCCCAACCGATGATGCAATTTGTAGTAAATCTTGTCCATTGACGCCACATTCCAATAAACTGAGTGATTTAAGGTGCATCATCCTCTGCAAACTAGCCGCCCATATTCCTGCGTTACCGCCCAAGTTCGAATTCTTTGAAAGATTTAGATTAGACAAGTTTGGCATCACCCCAACCGATGATGCAATATGTAGTAAATCTTGTCCATTGACGCCGCATTTCGATAAATCAAGTGATTTCAGGTGCATCATCCTCTGCAAACTAGCCGCCCATATTCCTGCGTTACCGCCCAAGTTCGAATTCTTTGAAAGATTTAGATCGGCCAAGTTTGGTACTTTACCTAATGCTGCAGCAATGTGTTCAACGTCAGCGTTTTGCAGTGAGCAATCACTTAACTCCACCTTCTTAAGTTCCGTCAGGTTTTGCAAGAGTGGAGTGCAGATAATTGCGGAACCACCCAGACCGCAAATGCCATCGATGGTCATTCTGACTAAATCGCTCCGATTATTGAATGACTGCAATATATCCGCCATGTCCTTGACAGTAAGTGAAAACCTCTCAATGATCAACTCTGTGCCATTACGCAATGACCGTACACGCCACACCTCACGGTAACTACTGAAATCACAATCCACGATATTCCGCATGCGACTAATTGATTCAGCGATATATTTCAAATTGCGACTGTTAATGATACAATGTTTCATGTCAAGCTTCTTTAAGTGAATCATCGACTGCAAACTAGCCGCCCACGTTTCAGCATTTTCACCTAATCCCTTATTCTCTGAAAGGTTCAGCTCGGCCAAGTTTGGCATCTCCCCAATTGATGATGCAATGTCTAATACGTCACGCGGGTCTAAGCGACATCCATGTAAACTGAGTTGCGCGAGGCGTTTCATCCTTCGCAAGTGGACCACCCAGTCTCTTGCCGAGCCTCCCAAATCATTTCCTCCAATGCTTATTTCAGTCAAGTTACCTCCATTACGAAATGATGACAAAAGTTTATTAACATTGCTTCCAGTTAGTGAGCATTGATCGAAATGCAATACGCGCAAATTGTTCATTGTGGTCAAATGCAAAGCTACGACCTCACTCAACCTTGATAGGTTACACGCCTCTAAGTGAATTTTACTTACTTTATCGAAGTAATCTACTCCTGAGGACTCCGTCTCCTCGGCAACATGCTGCAGCAACCACACGAACGAGTTTAAGCTGTCGTTGCCACTTAACTCTATGTTTCCAGTCAAAAAAGACTCAACGAAATCTACTGATAATAAATCTTTTGTTTGACTTTCAAAGTAGCAATTTAAAGCCAGTTCCATCACTGTCTCGGTTTCGATATCCTCATCATGCAGATTCTTCTCATTCAACATCCGCAATATTTGAGTTGTGCATTGTTGATTGTCGCCGCAGCAGAAGCGCAACATGTACTCAAAATTCTCAGGATGGCCAAGTTTATCAAGAATCTTCTGAAATTCCCAATCGCCTTTGCTCAAAAGACTCTGCCAGTACATAGCTGCGCAGTACTCTTGAAGTGTCTTATGAATGAACTGCACGTTATTGTGCGTGCCGCGCCTCTTCATGACCATCTGGCTAGTGAGAATACCTGCTTTTATTGCTTTATCAAGTGCACTCTTCTCAAACTCTCCCTCTTGAAATGAAAGCCTTTGCTTCGGGGAAACAAGCCCTTCTAAAGCGACTCTGCCGATTGAAATCACAATTTCCGACATTGCTTCTTCAAGTATTTCAGGCATTTTTCTTTGAAATATGTATCTAATTGCCTCACTGAACAATCTTGATAGAGTATCGGGTAGTGTTTCCTCTTCCCTCCATATTAGGCACATTAGCAGGAGTATCATGGGACTCCTTGCTAAATCAGACAAGACATCCGATGACTGAATCCTATCAAGAAGTCCCTCAGAGTCATCAAGCCTTGAAGGGAAAAAATTTCCAACATACTGCCCAATATCTTCCTCCCTAAATCCCAAAACCTTCACATGGGTGAAAGGTTTCTCAATGAGTGGTTTGCTTTTCAATTTAGCAAACTGTGAGGGGCGCGTTGTTACAACTACAAAACATTCCTTGCCAAATTTGCGATTCAGCATTCTTAGAATGGACCCAAATTTCTTTGGTTCGAGGTAAGTTGTCCCAAATTCATCAAAACCATCTATCAGAATGAGCACTCTACTACCATTGTCTTTAATGAATGCTTCCAAATCGCACTTGTTAACATTCGTGTCGTCAGATAAAAGCTGATCAAACACCGACTCAACAAGTTCCGACGTTTGATCGAGAGCGGACATTTTCAAAACAAACAAAAGTGTGAACGTTTTGAGTGCAATACCCTTCGCCCAGTCGTATGCCATTTTGTCAATAATGGTTGACTTTCCCATCCCAGGTGACCCACACAGCACAGCGCGTCTAATCACTTTCCCGTCTTTTGTTTTTATGAGGAAAATGTCCCCATACTCCGCAACATCGCCCTCTATGTCATCCTGGTCACCCTTCTCTAATTGCAACTCTGTATAGATATTCATAATATGTTTCATGTCGTCATCGACCCAGGGTATTAACTGAACGTAGCTACCTGTGGTAGTATACCGGTCTTTTAATTCACTCCTGCACTGATCAGCAGCATCACTCGGACTGGAATGCGCTCTTCTCACCTCGGCTGTTGAAAGAAAAGAAATGACATTAGGGGTGTATTTTTCAGCTGTAAAAAAAAGGTTTTATGATATTTTTCTTTTTGTTAAAGTTTTTTAAAGGGCCAATGCAGTAAAATTTTGGTAATGCAGTCCTTTAAAATGCACCTTTGCATTCCAGTGAACCTGATTTTCAATTTCCATTTTGCTGTTTTTAAGAGTATTATGGTGTCTTTTTGGATTTTATGCTAATGCCAATTTTTATATTTGTGAGCAAATTGTGATGTTATATCAGGCAAAAATTTCAATTTTGCAATTGGTTTGTGCCCAAAAAGGTGCAAGAATTTTGCATTTGAAAACGTTCCTTTTTTGGTTGGTACATGGCAGTAAGCCAATGGACAAACCTTTCTCAAAACTGTTATAAATGAGCAAATTTTTTTTGTTCTCTATGTGCACAAATCTCCTAAACTGAACACTGTCTCTCTGAAATGACATCGCAGCAACAGCGCCCCCAGTTGTTAAAAAAAGCATAGAAAATATATGTTTTAAAAAGTGCACTTTTGCTTTTGCATTTTTCAGAAAAAAAAATCATTTCATGGACACTTTAAGCCTATTTTATTGGCTTGATTTTTCTGGTCTTTCCAACTTCATTTTTTTTTTGCATTGTCAAATGTAAGTGTACGGATTGCCCAACTTTGTTCAGTTACTGAGCATACCTGATGTGTCCCGAACCAAGTCGTTCCTGCCTGAATCAATCAGAGCCTTCTCCAACGTCTGTCTTGCTTCTGGGTAATTGTCCTGCTTTCTCCACCATGTGCTTAACATCTCAAAGCATTGCCTTACAATATGGTTGGAATGATTAGCCTTAATTATATTAATATCTTCTTTAGAGGAATTTAAGTTTAAGGCCAATTCTTCCCAGTATGTTCCGATCTTCGTAGAATCATTCCAAATAGATTTGTCGTCAGGTAGTGTACCTATAAATGAATAAAATGACATTGCAACATGAACAAAGTGCATGAAGTTTAATTTGAAGTCATAATTAGTATTGTTAAAATGTAGTCGGAACGAGAGTGTGTACATTTTTTTTCTGGGTTTTCTGTCACGTCCAAAAATAAGAGACATGCGTACTTGTGTTGTGCATCGACCCGATCCGACCTGACCCGACCCTACTAAAATCAAGGAAAAATGACCCAGACAGACCCGAAAAAAACAAAATTATCTGGCTTGGGCAACTGTGTCCGCATGTCCCTCAACTCTTACCTGCGCCGCGCGAAGATCATCGTCTCTCAGTATTAAACTGAATCATACCACATTATTAAAAAAAAACTGAAACACGACCGCGCGTGCTTAACTGCAAACAATATCTTTATTGCCGAATGATTAAAGATGTCACGTCGGTGCTTATATAATCTTGTAAAGATTTTCTAGTTAAAGAGATTTTCAAATTTCTATTATGTCTATATCTAACAAATTAAGTTAACTTTTACTTCCTACTTTTGAATGAAATATCGAACAAAGAAACACTCATATGTTTTTAAAATGATTAGTTCACTTAATTATTTAAAGTATAATCAATTATTGCATGCGTAAGTTAGTAAGGGAATGGTTGTCGAATTTTATCTTCCCTTATAAAATCCTCCGGAGCCATGAATCAGAACAACGTTTTATTTATGTGATTGATTAGTAGGACTTGCTTGAACACCACCATTCTTTTTTGGAAAAAAAGAGATATCTGAACAATTTTGGGACAATTTGTATTGTGAACTCTGACCCATAATAGCATGCCACAGTGATGCCATTTTTTTTTTGCTGTAGAAATTGAACAATATAAAGCTATTTCAAATCACATGACGTGTTAATTCAGTAGCACGAAATGTTTCGTGCACGCATATTAACATACATTATTTGACTAGCCTAAATTAAAAAAACAATTGCTTCCCTCCCCAATTAAGTTACTGGGAACAAGTCTACTCGCTAACCGGATATATATGCGCTGAAAAGGAACCAAGAATCGGAGGTTTGCAGCCGCCTAAAACCAGAAGTAAAGTAGTTTTATCTTAAATTGATAACATTAAAGTTGACCACTTGCTGGGAGCACAAAAGCAAATTTGTTGAAGAGCCCGACAGTGCATATTTAACACAATTTGATTCTTGATAATAGAAAGAAAAAACAATCAAAGGAAAATAGCACGAGAGAGAAAGATAAAACATATAATGGATTATGTGTAATTGTTTACCTGATCTGCTTTCTATCCCAGTCACTCCTTCTTGTACCGGTGGTTTAGGTTCCTCTCGATGAGCAACTTCCTCTTGTTCTGGTCTGTGGTCCTCAGATGATGAAGCCCCTTTCCTCCCGCTCTGTTCTTTAGCCCCTCTCACTTGTACCTTTGGTTGAGGTTCGTCTCGATGAGCAACTTCCTCTTGTTCTGGTCTGTTGTCCTCAGATGATGTAGCTCCTCTCTTCCTGCTGTGTTCTTTAGCCCATCTCACTTGTACCTCTGGTTGAGGTTTGTCTCGATGAGCAACTTCATCTTGTTCTGGTCTGTGGTCCTCAGATGATGAAGCCCCTTTCCTCCTGCTCTGTTCTTTAGCCCCTCTCACTTGTACCTCTGGTTGAGGTTTGTCTCGATGAGCAGCTTCCTGTTGTCCCTGTCTCTGGTCCTCAGATGATGTAGTCTCATTCTGTTTGATCTTATTTTTAGCCACTCCCATTTGTACTTGTGGTTGAGTTTTGTCTCTATGAGTAACTTCCTCTCGTTCTGGTCTCTGGTCCTCAGATGATGTAGCTCCTCTCTTCCTGCTGTGTTCTTTAGCCCCTCTAACTTGTACCTCTGGTTGAGGTTCTTCTCGATGAGCAACTTCCTCTTGTTCTGGTCTCTGGTCATCAGATGATGAAGCCCCTTTCCTCCTGCTCTGTTCTTTAACCCCTCTCACTTGTACCTTTGGTTGAGGTTCGTCTCGGTGAGCAACTTTCTCTTGTTCTGGTCTCTTGTCCTCAGATGATGTAGCTCCTCTCTTCCTGCTGTGTTCGTTAGCCCCTCTCACTTGTACCTCTGGTTGAGGTTTGTCTCGATGAGCAGCTTCTTGTTGTCCCTGTCTCTGGTCCTCAGATGATGTAGTCTCATTCTGTTTGAACTTTTTTTTAGCTCCTCCCATGTGTAACTCTGGTTTAGGTTCGTCTTGATGAGCAATTTCATCTCGTGTCGGTCTCTGTCCCTCAGATGTAGTCCCTTTCTTCCTGCTCTGTTCTTCAGTTCCTCTCACTTGTACCGATGGTCCGTGTTTGTCTCGATGTGTTACTTCCTCTTGGCACGTTCTCTGATTTTCAGATGATGTAGTCCCTTTTTGCTCCTTTTGTTTTTCGGCACATCTCAATTGTACCTGTGGTTGAAGTTTGTCTAGATGAGCAGTTTCCTCCTGTCTTGGTCTGCGTCCCTCAGATGATGTTCCCCTTTTCTCCCTATCTGCAACTTCTTCCTGTTCCATCCTCCGTTGCTCTTCAGAAGGAATCATTAAGGCCAGCTCAACATGCCCGATTGACTGTAACGCATCTCTCAAACTCTGAAATCCTTCCTCGCGATTTGGTTGCTTTCTCCACCAAGAAAGCAGCATCCGTAGGCTCCTTTCTTTGTTTTCTTGGTAGATTTTTTGGAATTGCTTGATTTCGTCTTCACCGTATCCCAGAGATTTGGCCAACTGTTCCCAGGATGATTCAGTTTTCGAAGCCAAGTCCCGAAAGAACTGATCATCAACAGGGTATTTGCCTGCCAAATAAAAACGAAACCTCTTCGTTACTACAACACAAAGAAATAGCAAGCAAATAACTAATCTGATTTCCTTAGTATTTGTTTATATAATGTGTTGGTCCTTGTTGAATTACATCGGAGAGGGAGGCGGTGACATTAATTTACATCCTAACACTTGTACCAATGCTAATATATAACGTTAGAGCATCAAATTGTTTTTAATCATTTCCTTTCCAGGAGACATTTTGATCGTTTGCTTTTCTCCATCTTGCAAGGTAATGTTTCTCATAAGCATTTACCTTTTGGTCCACCGCCCAGTAGGCCATCGGTACACAGACGGAGTGAGATGTTCTCGTCCTGATGAATTCCACAGTCATGAAGTGTCAGCAAGTTATGAAGCTGGCAAAAGAAAGAAGATTCTTAAAGAACATTTTTTTTCGAAGCAAAGGTTTAAACAACAGTTTGGGGTTTCAGATTATACTACACTGGTACAATAACTACATATAATTGTAACTTGTTATGGTGCAGCTTCACCTTGAAACTAATAAGTGCGTAAACTCCATTGTGCTGACATAAAAAGCAGCGCTATATCTGTACACGGCTACTGTCATTTGAATCAGAAGAGACTGTCACAAAAACCCACAATGCATGGTCTTTAATTCAATAGAATGTTGATGGTACTTCGCAACATGGCTGCTTTGTAAAGTAAAGAGCAATCTTTACCTCAAAGTTACGAAAGTTTCTTCGGATGAACAGACGCTGTTGTTGAGGCAGCACACCGATTTTCTCGCTCATTATCACTTTTAAGAGCAAGACAGATGTTTCTGGATCCACTTGCAAGCACATTATCCTCGGTCTATGTGAGCAGTGACTTCTGATGAAGACCTGCACATATCTGCGACTGTCAGAAAAAAAGGTTCTGATGGTGAGGGTTTTTAATTGTTGGAATTGACATAAAAGTTCAGGAATAAAGGTAAAGACTAATGGCGTATAATCATTCTCTACGCCATTTTTTAAGTGAGGACATTTTGTTTTCAAAAGGAGCTATATTTATCTTAAAAAAACCAAAATTACAGTTGTAGTACGAAAAGCAGCATATCGTGTTTTACCTGATTAGCTGAGGTTTATCTTGATCACCAACTCGTTCCTTTTTCAGTTTCTCTTCCTCGGTTGATGCCGCTTCGTTTTGTTTGCTCTCCTCGTCAACTCCTGCATCTCGACGCCTTTCTGGCTCGGGTCCAGCTGCTTCGTCTCTCGATTCGCTCGTTACTGATGTTACACAAAAAAATAGAGTGCAAAGAATTGTTAACAAATGACTTTCCACTGATTTTTCTTTTAACATTTTTAATTTGTTTAAAAAAATTAACAAGGAATTTTTTTTGTAATAGCTTATTTGCTGTACAAAAAAGATCGTGTGGTACCTCATCAATTCTTTTATGTGTCCTGCAAAAACAGCGTACGTCTAGTTTTTTACTTTAAGCTCACCCGGTGCTTTTTGGGCCAAATCAGTCAGCCCGATGGCCTCCAATGCTCGTCTCAGCTTCTGAGCTGCTTCGTTGCGATCTGTCGTCTTTTCCCACCAAGTGAGTAGCATGTGACGGCTCTCTTCAGTGCTGCCTTCGTTGGTAGTTTGGATGTCTGCAATTTCAGCTTCTTTATATCCTAGGTGTTTGGCAAGTTCCTTCCACGATGATTCGATTTTTGATGACAAGTCCCTGAGGTACTCATCTTCAATGCTGGCTTTGTCTGTCAAAAGAAATAGTAACGTCAGTGAAACATTTTCAAATACGACCACCACGGTATTACAAGTTATCAACAACAGGTTCAACAGAAAGAGACTTGTTCTTTGTTAAAAGCTCCAATTGGGGTCTGAATGTTGAATTGTCTGCATTTACCGACAGTCCAACTCCCAGCTCCGATGAAGGCCTAGTCAGGCCCAAACAATTTAGCGACAAAAATTCCTGGTGAGCACTGCTTGAACTTATTTTCATCATATATTTTCAAATTGAGGTTGTTGACTTTTTACTCGAACATTTATTCCTAACCTCTACCATTTACCTTTTGGTACATCGTCATCATTTGCATCATCCAATGATAGACGAAGAGAGATGAGTTCATCCTTGTCAACGCCATTCTCCTCGAGTGTGAGCAAGTCACAGAGCTAACAAAGTGAATCATGTAAAAAAGTAAATTACACAATCAGAGTAGAAAGAGAGATGATTTCAGGTGTTCATTGTTAAACAGCCATCAAATTACGTTCGTTCAAGCCTAGTTGGAAGGAATGGATACTGATTTTCTTCGGGTTGCAGGGGCAGCGGAACACGCGGGGAGGGGGTGGCGCCCCCCCCCCTCAGATTTACCCAATTGCTCCTCTTGAAGACATAAATGTACCCCTTCGTGATGCCCCCAGTTGGAAAATATATAATCCCACAATGCGAATATTTGAAATTGATACCTACCTGGACGTTTTCCCTGATGTACAGGCGCTGATGTCGCTCCTCCACACCGATCTTCTTCTTGATTGTTTCTTTGAGAGATGAGACGGATGTCTCAGGATGGAGTTCGAAATAAAATGTCTTGGATCTATGTGAGGGGGGAGTCCGGACAAAGACCTGCACTTTCGGCTTTACATCTTTGGAATTACTGTAAAGACAGAGAAAAAAATCTGTTTAGATTTGGAATGCATTATTCTACACAAGAACTAGATCAGTGAACAATTCATTTTGAAAGCTATGGTCAAAGTAACGTCCACTGTCACGAGTCTATGAACAGTTTTGCACAAGTTCACTCAACTTTTACACAAGTAGCTGGAAAGAGTAAATGATTCAACAAATCCTTGGATATTAAGTTACAATTATAACCCTCAATTTACATGAATAATGGCATTGCTGTTTACCTCTGACTTTCATGTGTCTGCTTTGATTGTCTTCTAATCCTTCGATTCGATGGTCTCCTCTTTGCACAGCAATCATCAGAAGACGTTTGCCTGTAATGCAGTACAGACAGGAAAGCTTGTTTCCTCCTTGGTTTGACTTTAGTCTTCCTGCTGATGAGTTTGGCGTTGGAGTGGTCGTACACGACGGCTGTTGCCTGAATGTATGCATCCAACTGCTGTACGGTTTTTCGCGGCATCTTGGTAGTAATCAGCCCGAGTTAAAGTGTCCTTACTGAAAGAAAAGACGACAAAAGAAAAGTGTTAAAACCAATGCAATTATATCCATCGTGTTTGAGGAGCTGGACCTATAAGCCGTTTCACTGATACCGCCATTTTAAAATGTGTGTTCAGTGGGCAATTCAATAGCATCACGTTCCAGCACATAGATGACACTATAAGGCATACTACAAACTTTGAAAAGCAAGAGAGTTGACTTGAGACTGCAGGGCTTGTAATGGACTGGTGATGCACTTACAATGGACTTTTGATGGACTAATTATGAGGGATTTGGGATGGACTTGTGGTGGAATTGTGGTAGACCTGAGATTGACTTCGGATGGACTTGTGATGGACTTGTGGTGGAATTGTGGTAGACCTGAGATTGACTTGGGATTGACTTGGGATGGACTTGGGATGGACTTGTGATTGACTTGTGATTGACTTTGGATGGACTTGGGATGGACTTAGGATGGACTTGTGATGGACTTGGGATGGACTTGTGATATGCTTGGGATGGACTTGAGATGGACTTGTGATGGACTTGTGATGGACTGGGAATTGACTTGTGATGGCCTTGAGATGGACTTGCGATGAACTTGCGATGAACTTGGGATGGACTTGTGATGGACTTGGAATGGACTTGTGATGGCCTTGAGATGGACTTGTGATGGACTTGGAATGGACTTGAGATGGACTTGTGATGGACTTGGGATGGACTTGGGATGGACTTGTAATAGACTTTGGATGGACCCGGACCTCCATCGGGAAAGTCCACAATTTAAATAAAATATTAAATGTAAGAGAAGTATGCATTTGAAATACATGTATATGCATTTTAAGAACTGCATTTAGAAAATAATTTAGAAAGAATACATCATATTATGTACATTTCTTTTAAACGCCACGTAAATCAGAAAATTCAACACTGATGGTGTTTGCCATTCACTGCCGTTATTACATGAGCACTGTGTACTAAGCGTTATCAGAGTGTTAATTCAGAAAAAAAACAAATTCCTTCAGGAGCAGTGTCCCCTTCCCCCATCCCCACTCCAAACCCCCGAAACTGAAATACCCCTGTTTAAAACGTTTACCTGCTATCTCTCTTTTGGTCAGTTTCACGGCAGAAATGCAATCTACACTTTGTAACGACAAATCCTTATCATATCTTGTAAAGTTCCATCTCCATTTTACCACTACCAGACTTAACGAGTTTACTACATCCACATTTCATTTTTCAGAAGAAATAAATTATTTCAACTTCACGATGTCGATCGAAGAAAGAAAGAAACAGTCATGGACAAATCACGAAATTGTTGACGGATATGATGTTGCAAGTGCAACGTACCTTATTTGCGCCCAGTTTCATTCTTCCGCATACCGATTTTGGAATTTCCCTGATGTAATACTGCTATTAATACATTTTTATAATGGGGGCCGATACTTCACAGTGCGCGTGCGCAGTACCGCCCTGTAAACGTGCCTGGTTCCCGGACCAGTTTTCCCAAAGAACCTCGCCGCCGCGCCGTAGCGTCGTATGAATACAAACTAGTAAACGCTGGGAAGTACAAGCAAACAGCAAGGACATTTACATATGAGTACAATTTCTTTTGCTGTTCAGAATCCAGACAGCAGGTTCAAATGCTAACTTATTGGATAGATTGCACGGACGAATGGTTGTCAACAATAGGGTCTCTTGTGTGTGTGTGCGAATTGGCACACACAGGGTTTACATGTAGGGTAAACGACTCCTAATCATCAAGGTTATGCATGCAGTACAGTGGCTAGATTGAGCCTTAAATCCAACACAAATTATATATGTTCACAATAATTTACAGAGTGCGAAAGTTCTTACATGAAAATCATGAAGCGCAGTGTAGACGAAGTTACAGTTGCCTATATCTATTCACCCAGAAACATATTTCAGCCAATAAAATCGTACTAAAAAATGTGATGTTGAAAAATCATTTTCTATTATATTACGGAATAAATTGGATGCTTATGTCATTTCGTTCAGTTCCTGATTGCCGTCTGAAGCATTCACTGCAATTAATTCACGCGTTTCAGTAAAAGCCTTTGCTTCATTTTCATCCACACGGATACAAGTAAATGCATACAATTGGTAGTAAAAGCAAATGGTAGTTTTTACTCAAACGACCCACTGAATCTTAAATCTATGACTTCTGGGATCACACACAAAAGAGTGTCATCCAGCTGTCATGTACTGGGAAAATGTTCCACTCATTTAAACAAAAAATATGTATTAAATTTTTCCCACCAAAATTAGTGTTAGAGTACATGTTTTTTTAAGAATCTTTGGAAGTGCCTCATATGCTTTTACTGTCAATTGAGGGCATAGACTGGTCATGTTTAGGGATTTAAGTATATAAACTATGGGGATTTTCGAAACCTTTGCTTCGGTTTCGGCTTCGCCTCCTACTTCTGAATCACTGAGAGGCAAACTATACACACTTATTCTAAGTTTTGTCTTCATATCAACCGATTGAATGTTCCTGAAGCATAACAGGCACCAAAATGTAGCTGGAGTCCCCGAAGTCGGGGCCTAAAATGTCATTAAGCTGAAGATGAAGCCAAAGCCAGTCGAGTCCATGATAAGGCTCATGAAGAACATCCGACAGCCGTGTACATAATTGAAAACAAATGAAGCAGCAGTTACAGAAAGTTCCTACGGCAGAAATCTCAATGCCGGCAACCCTTGGTGCTCAAACATCTGTTGCACTGAGGTCTCTGCCTCAACCTCGCCCCAGTGTCTTATTTATTTTAAACCGCATGTTCAAAAGCAGTGCTCAACATCATGGGAACGAGGTTGCTCCTGCCTTCAGATCAAATAACATTACAGTTTTAAACTAGTATTAGCATGCAATAAAAAAAGCCCCGAAATTTGTTTAAATCCGGCAAGTCAAAAAAAGGTGAAATTTAACACAAGTATGCATGTCCATACATTCCAAAAATTGCATCGGACCCGCGTAAAAATCGTTTTTCCCCCTTTTAATAGTAAAATCCTCTCACGTGACCGATCCCTCTCCCTCATATGCTTGAGCATGCGCAATACTACCAATGAGTGCGTATTTGACAAAACCTAATTTCACGCTACACCGGCATTTACAAAATACATCATAGCATGTACATTTATTTTAAACGACCGTAATTGTGAACAATTAACATTGGGTTTGACCTTTCACTGCCCGGGTAACGTATGCTCAGGGCTGTCAAAGTAATAATTCAGAAAACAAATCCTTTCAGGAGCAGTGTCCACTGCCCCCCCCCCCCCCCAGGAAAGAAATACCCCTGTTCATATCTTTTATGTATGGTGTTCTATAGACGCCAAATCTGCGTCGCGTCGTGCTTTCACGTCGTGCCGTCGCGTCGTACCGTCGCGTCGTGCCGTCGTCCGTCGCGTCGTGGCGTCGCGTCGTGCCGTCGCCCGTCGCGTCGTGCCGTCGCCTCTTAAATTACCGTTTCTAAGCACGTACACTGCATGAGGAAGCGACGCACCTTTACACGTCGCGTCGTGCCGTCGTGCGTCGCGTCGTGCCGTCGTCCGTCGCGTCGTGCCGTTGCCTGTTACCTCGGCGCTTCTAAGTAGACTGCTTGAAGAGGCGACGCACACATTGCCCGTCGCGTCGTGCCGTCGCCCGTCGCGTCGTGCCGTCGCCCGTCGCGTCGTGCCATCGCGTCGTGCCGTCGCCCGTCGCGTCGTGCCGTCGCCCGTCGCCCGTCGCGTGACTGTTTCTTTCTTGGCAATAGGTGGCGCCTTCATTCTTCATGTACCTGTGTGTATTTATGACATGCGTGCCGTGCGGTGAAAGTGTTGCAAATTGCTATGTCGTACAGTTTGTACACGGTTTGTGGGGAGGCCTTTTATTAGTGGTTGCGGAGGTCCGACTCAATCAATTTCAAAATACATAGACTATTTTCTGCTTCCGATTGTCAAAACAACAAAGCACATATACACGCGATTCCGGGCATGTGCTTGAAAAACCCAAACCTACAAGAGAACACGCTCGCTGTCTCCTGGAACTTATCATGCATCGAAACATATTTGAATTCAATGGAAAGTTCTTCAGACAGAAAATTGGCGTGGCTATGGGAAGCGAATGCAGTCCAGAAATATGCGATATAACCCTGTTCAAATATGAAAAAGAAATTATTCTCCCACACAATCCTTCAATTGTGAGTTACATGAGATACAGGGACAACGTCTTAATAATATTTAACGGTAACGAAGACCAAGCCGGTGACCTCGTCCAAACTCTAAACCAAATTCATCCCACGCTCATGTTCACGTCAGGGATTTCAAACAGTCAAGTCACCTTCCTCGACCTCGTCATCTACCAAGGCGAACGGTTCAAAAAAGAAGGGAAACTGGATACTCAAGTAGCAACCAAAAAAACTGATACCTTTCAGTATCTTGCTCGAGATTCAGCCCACTCTGAGTCAGTGTTTGGCGGTTTGATTAAAGGGGAAAAAAAACATTTGCAAACATCAAAAAATAAAACTACCAAATCATTTTGAAATACCTTGCTGGACTGTTAGTGAATGACAGTGTAAAGCATCCTGTAAAATCATGGCACCTGGTATACTGTCATTTTCAAGAAAAGTGGTATTTTTGTATCAATTTCCAACGCTGATCGGCCGATCAGCGTTGGAAAAAAACTGGCTTTTTTTCTTCAAATACTGGCCCCAGTTGACCATCGCACTTGTTTGCAATCGA